GCGCTTCAAACGGATCCATTTGCCTTCTGGCCACCAAAATTGGGCCTTCACCACCACTTTTTGCGAAGTCATGGATCTGATTAACAAGCTAACGTGCAAGCCATGGACTTTAGCCCAAAAAATTGAGCTAAAGTTGATTATTTCACGAAAATGGCGCCGAAAAATATTAGTGGCGTAAATGGTCAATTTGCCAAGATTATGCCTGATCATTTGAGAAGATTTTTGCACAGAGATGTAACCCCTGGTGGTCATCGTTATTATGGCGACTACCAAGCTATAAAAAGTCCGAAAACCGATTCAAATTTGCATTTATTCTTCTCGGAAAAGTTTCATCCACGCGAAAATACCGATCTCAAACAAAAAAGCTCTCGGAATGAGTAGTTGTTTACAAATCATTCGTGATAGCCTGCATAGCGCGGTGAGTTTCAATGTCACTATTATGCGGGAATGAGAAGGTATACAGAAAGTAGGGCCAGTGCAAGCCTCTGCAAAGCAGAGGTGACGCACTGGTATATATACAGGGTGTCCCAAAAAGATGTGCACACTGTTTGATCGTTAATAACTCTCCTGCTTTCATGTCTTTTGCCGAGCATGAGGTACCATTCTGTAGAGCGAGGTTCAACTTAGATTTGATGTGTGGAACGAATCATCGGTCGCTCTTCATTACCTTAAGATCACTGTAGGAACTTCGAGGAGGATTTTGAGCCATTGAAAGCGGTAATTTGCCAGTAATTTGGCTTAGAAAGAGAGCTAAACAAGTGAAGTGGGCTAATCGAAGTCGCTGATTCTAGATAAGAAATTTGCGCTTTAGCATAGTGCTTCTTTTTCAAGTTATTCAGATTTAGGGTAACAACTGTTTTTTCAATGTTCGTAATAAATATGAATACGCCATCAAAAAAGCTCGAAAAACTGATGAAAAGTTGAGTAGTGAAATCAGCACGCCTGAAAACCTTGCTACACAAATTTTCAATTTTTTTTTGAAAATATTTCATTTAAAGGCCTATTCCACAGTGACGATGTTAGAAATTCATACCATAATCTTACAGTAATGAAGAGTGACTGATGATTCGCTCCATACTGTAAATCTAAGTTGAACCTCGCTCTACAAAATGGTACCTCAAGCTCAGCAAAAGACATGAAAGCAAGAGAGTTATTAACGATCAAACAGTGTGCACATCTTTTTGGGACACTCTGTATATCATGACTTATAATAAGCCGCTAATTTGTCGGTCTGTAAGTCTATCTGTTACGAAATTACAATGAGGAATGATTTACAGTTTGAATGCATGTGAGAGTTGCAAAGCAAGTAAGGTTCATTTTTGTAATTACTTGGCGGTCTCTCTATCAAAAAATGATGAAAGCCAAAATCATTACGTAAGTTTTACCTACACTTTTCATGATGGCCAGCACTGGTGACTTATAATAAGCCGCTTATTTGTCGGTCTGTAAGTCTGTCTGTTACGAAAATACAGTGAGGAATGATTTACAACACACTGCAGCATGTGAGGTTCTGATAGCGAGTATGGTTCATTTTTAATTAGGAACTATCTCACCACAGTGAACCTGACAATAATCTAAAAGAAAGCCTTCACATCTTAAGTTTATCATCGTTTCTTGATGGCCAGGGCGGCCTCTGCGAAGCAGAGGTGAAGCACTGGTATATGATAAGCACCAAACTACCGTTCATTTCTTTGGAAGTGTTAAAAACGCCTACAAACAAGTGAAACTGACTCTACCAATTCAGAGGAAATCACAAATTTTTTATTCTCTTCAAAAGCATTTTGATGATAGCAATGTTGAGAAAACAATTTTGAAGTTGCTTGACCCATAATCACTTTATTGCAGGCAATGGATTCGAACAAGGAAATGCTTGAGTTTACATGGATACAGCGCATTTTAGTCTTATTGAACTGCCCAAATCAAATTCAACTAAAATTGCAACACTTAGGTATATGTGGGCCAGCACTTCTACAAAAAATAAAATTCGGCTTTCAAAATACAAAGAGTTTGTATATATTCAATTTTATCAAATTTCACAAGCCTGAACTACGGGAATGGCAGCGCATAGAAGGAGGGGGAGAGGAAACAGCAAGAGAGCATGCTGATTAAGAATATCGCAAGCGTTTCTAGAATTACCTGTTGATTTTATCAATTATCAGTCAATTGCGACGATTTTTGCAGACTTTGAGCCATGGTGCTGGAAGTGGCATAGAGTTGTAAGCATTATGATTACGAAAGCAACGTTTATGAGAGAAATAGGCATTGCGTTAATAAGGTTTTGTATATATTAAAAAAAGGGGCAAACTAGTTTAAACTTTATTTTTAGCTGAGTGATACTGTACGATATCTTTCAGAACTGCCAAGACTCCATAAATGATTTTGTCGGGAATATCCTAATAAACATCACGGACATATAAGATGTACCAATCACATGCATATACAATTCACAATCTGGCCCAATTGGGATCAGTCCGATTGGCGTAAATTCGTGCGCTCGCAGCAATAAGGGTTTGCGCTGCAAATGCGCACTGTCGGAGAGAGCGAAGAGGGTGAAAAAAGACAAGCAAGCTGTAGACGTGACAAAAGTCTTAGCCGTGCCGATGCCCATCACTCCAGTTTTGGTCTGATTCGGATTGAGACAAACCTCAGTACATTTTCCGCTTATGCAGGGTGCTTTTGCCGAGAGTGGGCAGATCTGTGCTCAAACAAGTAGCCATGCCTGTTATGTTGGCCCCTGCGCGCGAATGCCGGCAGTACTGACTTGGCTACTTGTTCAAGCGCAACTCGTCCCTCAGTTTTAGCACCAGGGGCACACTATATTAAGGGGAAAGTTACTATACTATATTATACATGAAAGCGCAGCCCATATTACTTTTGACCTAATGGTGAACGCATTCAGTGTAACAAACAGAAGAGGTGAAGGGACAATTGTATGCGGGGGCTTAGAGCATACTCTTAATAAAGCCGTGTGCTCTGGTAACCTTCATATTAAGCGTCATGATAGAACACGTCCTTCACCTGGGGATAAGAACAGAAGTCATCCGAGACGAAGCCCCAGGTATACATAATTATATAGGAGTGAATGTGAATGGGGCAAGTATAGTGAGTGATATTTGAAGAAAAGCTCACGAAACAAATAGATCAGATTTGTAGCCTTTTCTGCTCAAAAGTTTTTTTCGAAAACTCTCCTAGAATTTGGGACCCCATCTCCCAATCCTTTTTGTAGACTACTATTAAGTGTTAGAAGGTCACGAAAGCTGTTGGAGTTCAATAGAAAAGAAGTACTGCACTTGAATCTTGGGCAAAGAATCGACAGCTAAATGCTGGTTTATGTCGTTCTGCAGTGATCTTCAACATCCGCGACGTTATCAGTGCTCCTGGTCGTGTCATGAGGATCACAACGACATATGATGTTGCAGGTTGTTGAGACCCCGCCGAGATCGACCAGTGCCAAAGGCCCCGTCGGCTGTGGTTCGTCTCCGCTGCTTGTCTGCGTCTCCGCCCATTATGCGCTACCTCGCTACCCCCGCGGGGCTCGGGACATGTGGCTCTGGTACCCTTTTCTTCGTTGTTTTCAATTTAATCCTAACAAACTGTATGTCATTTTGAAGCATTTGATCTCTACTTTCAAGCCGACAACGTCGCGGAACTCCATTTTCCGATTTGAACGAGAGATCTGGCAAAACTCGCGTTTTAGTCCCTTGTTTTTTCTTGTAGCTCTTTTCAAGCGGGTTTTTTGTGCATTTCATAGATCATGCGTTCTTTCATAATGCGGACAAGCTCGCGGGGCTGACTTCTTCGATTGTGGTGAAATATCTATCATAAAGTTGCAAAAAGTGCGTTTTTGTTCATAGGCCTTTATTGGAGTCAGTAAGCAACCATTTCTTACATGCTTGGGCATTTTACTCAGGATTACGAGCACAACAAAGCTAACAACGTTGCCAGAAATAGAAACTACGAGAAGGGGCATTTAATGCCCCTTCTCGTAGTTTCTATTTCTGGCAACGCAGCAAAAAATTTAAAGGACGCATCAAAAACTAGGTTATCTTTGACGTGTATTTCGACTTAGAAGAAATAGAACTTTGCGTTTTCATGACTGAATGGTTTTCGTTTATTTTCTTCTTGATGATCATTACTTCCAAAATATTAGGGTGTCTTTTGTTTCTACCGTTTTTACCCTAAACATCAGCATTTTTCGAGAACTGAGGCACCTACAAAGGAGCGAATGTTTACGGTAAAGTTCATTTTTGATTGTTATCATATTTCAGCTCAAACTTCACGTGGAATACGAATTGGGCAGACTAATGAGACTTGTAGAACTTGTTTTGTGTGGAATGGTTACTTAAGCCATATCAGTTGATGGAAAGACAAAAAGGCGGCCGTCGCAATAAAAACGGTAAAAAATTATGAGACACTCCAATGTTTTTGTTTCTGAAACAATCACAGAGAAGAAACCCCACTTCTGCGTCTAGCTAGTCTGCTCTCTCCTCAATCTCTTCGCTCTCTGCGACAACGCGCGTACAGTCTGCCCCAATCGGGACCAGGCCGAGTCGGCTAAATTTGCGCGCTCGCAGCGCGCGCGCTGTCGCAGAGAGTGATGAGATCGAGGAGAGAGCAGACTAGCTAGCCGCAAATGTGGCGCGAAACCCTCGCGGCGCGGACTCCCGCCATGCCGATTTTAGCCTGGTTAGGATTGGGGCAGACTGTATGCAGCGCAAACCCCTAGCGCTGCCAGCACACAAATTCAGCCGACGGTTCGGCCCGATCCCGATTGGGGCAGACTGTAAACTAATTGCGGCGTTTTATTACGTTCTCAAAAGCCTCTTCTCCTTTCGTTAATTGTTTTGCACCTTTTTTCTTCTTTGATTTCCTGTAAACAATTTTCATTTTTTATTGGGGGGAGGGGGTGTGGGAATTACTCAAACAATCTTCACTTTTAAAGCCCTATCACTAGAATATCGAAAGTACGGCTTAGAGTGCAATGGATAGATACGCAATCCTCATGCCACACCATAGGCTTCGGCCGTATACGAAACACGTTCTTTCAACTGAGCTTGGAGAAGATTTTGCTCGAGTACTCCAATTTGCACGTTCATTCGTTGAATATCCTCTTCAATCTTGAGTAGCGCTTGTTTCACTTTCATCATTGGGGCTGGAAAAAGAAAACAAAAATTTTTTTACAAAAGAAAGATAATGGATTACCTCCATCGCTTGTCTTCGCTCCTTGTTCTTCGATCTGCATTTTGATCTGATCAATATCTTCGGATATTCTCTGCAGTGTTGCTGTTCTTTCAGTTACTCCTCCTGATGCAGCCCTATAAAATAGTAATGTATGAGTGCTAGCTTGATTATTACTAATCTCACTTGTATCGCTCCCTAACTTCGGCTCTAGAGTCCTGAGACTCTTTATAGCGCGAAAGCCACATCCCCAACTGCTGATTCAATGTTCGTTCGCGTGACTCAATCCTTTCCAAGGACTTTTCTACTTCACTCGCTACCTAACAACATACCATAGATATTAATCGGTTAGGCATATAGTCTAACGCACCTGGTCCAATTTTGGTGAGAGCTCATCAATGAGATCTGTCAGGTTTTGTTGAAGAGATGTCATTTGTTCAAGATGCATCCTCCAATCCTTAATATATCGGGAAGTCAAAATAGATGACAAGAGATAGCGTAGTATTAAATGAAATGAATGCATCAGAACAAAAAAGCAGAATCAAAGTTTTTCCTACACGTAGTATTGAAAATCTATGTGGTTCACTACGGTTATTGTTAATCCAGTCAGCAATTACAGACATCAAATTACAATGCGTTTGACGAGCTCAGCGCCGCATAGTGCAGTCACACATCCAGTCACACAGTCACACACCGAGCGTTACCATACGCGCAGCGTGCAGGGACCAAGCTGCGCACAACATCACGGGCCTTGTTTTTATTATCGTATCTCGTAATTTTCCGTTTTTATAGCGTCGGATTGCCCTTTTTCTTGCTTGTATGCTTAAATGCGATCTGTCTTGGTACCGGATATGATTTTATTTTCGCAGTAAAAAAAGGACGTCACACTTTGAAACTCGTACCTATAGTTACAAATGGCTGCGAAGAGCGCGCCCCATGACCCGATGCAAATCTGACCGGCGCGCAGGGTATTTGCTTCGTAGAGTGCAATCCAGGCACAGATGTCTACTGTTTGAGCCACTTAGACTAAAGTGAAGTCCCCGATTGATCACAGTTTATCAATGTCTTTGAACGAGCTGCTGCTGAAGATTTCATTGAGCCAGCGGCAACAAGTTGACGATGAAAGGATAAAGATCGTACACGATTGATCTTTTTCTGTAAACTTTTTGTGTAAATAATAGCAAGGTTTTGAGCAGCATGAGTCCGTTTCTTGATGCTGAAGCTTATAAGCCTTGTATGGGCCCCTTCCCTTAGTTGTTTTTACCTTTGCTTGTGTTTTGAAGACAAATTGGTTACTTTGTTGCGACTCACGATGGGCAAGTTTGGGTTTCACATATCGTTTCTTGTACCGAATGGAAAGTATCTGTATGTCTGGTGATCTAAAACATCCATGAAGGGTAAACTCTCTGTTCAACAACTCAGGCTTTCTTTTCATCTGTCACAAAAATGAAAGTCGAAGAGAGCGGGTCTCCATCAAAAATTGCGAAGAAAGTCCCTATCGATTCATTATATTGTATGCAAAGAAGTTTTTGGTTATGACATCATGAAAAGCAGTTTTATCTTCAATGCGTCGCAAAAGCTATCCACTTAGGGCCGCATGCACTAACATCCTCGCGGGGAGGGGATCGCAGCTTAAAAGAGAGCTTTATATTTCGAAACTCCAGATACCCGGATTTCACGTTGTGTACCTATCCGTAAGTATTCCTAATACCCTTCACTATGAACATGTTGAAGAGGAGCGAGAAGCTGTACAAACCGCATTTTCCAGCTTTTGTATGATCCCTGATGATCCTCGGCACTTTTCTTTAAAGTCATTTTTCTTTCTCCGAAGCTAACGAATGACCTCCAAAGTTGTGCAGATTATCTAACCCGACAGTGATAAGCATGTTGCTGATAAGAACAAATGATGTTTTGAATCATGAAATTTCGAAGATCCACAGGTCGAAATTTGAGGTTTACCGAAAAATTCGACTTTTCAAAAACTCATTTGTTCTCATCGGCAACATGCTTAGCACTGTTGTGTTAGATGTTCAGTACAACTTTGGAAGGTTTTCGTTAACTTCGGAGAAAGAAAAATGACTCTAATTAAAAGCGCCGGGGATCATCAGGGATCATACAAAAGCTGGGAAATGCGGTTCGTACAGCTTCTCGCTCCTCTCAACATGTTCATAGTGAAGGGTAGTTAGGAATACTTACGGATAGGTACACAACGTGAAATCCAGGTATCTGGAGTTTCGAAATGTAACGCTTTCTTTTAAGCTGCGATCCCTTCCCCAGCGGGGAGGTTAGTGCATGCGGCCCTCAGACAGTCGAAGAAATACCTCCGGCGGGCAAATGGTGCGAGTCTGCCACTTCGCGCTCTGGAGCACTCCGGAGCCCTGCCATTTCACCCATTTTGGTGCTCCGGAGCTCTCCTAAATCTGGCGCACCTCCGGCAAAGATTTGAGCGTCCCGGAGAGGAATCCCATTCGTTCACCGTGACGTCACCGTGACGTCACGGTGACGTCACAAGCAGGCAAATGGGACCGCTCTACGGGACGCGCAAATCTTTGCTCCGGACGTGCGCCGATTGGGGAAAGCCCCGGAGCACTAAAATGGGTGAAATGGCAGGGCTGCGGAGTGCTCTAGAGCGCGAAATGGCGGACTCGCTCCATTTGCCCGCCGAAGGTATCCCTTCGACTGTCTGAACAAGGACTGCGCACAGATGAGGAGTAAAGGGCAAAGAAGCAAGAGGTGTTTGAGTCACGTAGATACTTTTCAAAGATTGTACTTATGCTTTTGCATACACTCCATCTGTGGGATAATGAACGAAGACTACGCAACGAAAATCTACAGACAGACAGCATGCTGGATTGCGGGATAGCTCCCTACCTAAGCTGGAGGTACCTAAGTCTCTAAGCTGCTGAAACTAACGTACATAGTGGTTTCCACGAACAGTTAAGCTACTGACATCGATCTGTGCTTACAATGCTCACCCGCAAGCCTACCCATCCTTGGAATAATGAACTCGAAACGCTTTGTACTATCTACAAGTTGTCTAACATGCTCGAATTTGTTTTATCCAAGTATTGAGTCAACAAAAAATGTAATATATCACAAGTGCTTGCTAACTGAAAGCGTTTTTAAGTCTCCTTTCTCAAAAAGAACGATACGTACCTTAAGTCTTTGATCTGCAGCTTCATTCTTCTTGTGGCTGCCGTGAAAGGGAAACACGTTCAGTAGAAGACGCCTTCCTCTTTATCCACTAACAAATCACTTCTTTCATATCCCTACTAAGTTCTTGTTGAACCACCTTGATAAATAATGAACTCATTAGCAAGATACGAAAGCTAGATCATCGCACGTTAACAACTGCACTACTTTTTGTGATTCTTCTGCAGAAAGGAGTCGTTTTTCCTCTACTGTCACTTGTTTCGCGCTGGAAATTATAGGGTGTGCGCGCTTAATCGCCAGGAATCCTGCAGGGAACCAAGATTTGCACTGGGACAGGGGGCGCGCTCTTCGCAGCCATTTGTAACTATAGGTACGAGTCACTTTAAACGTTTTTCTCATGACATCTCTCATTTCATTCCAGGCCTTCTTCGGATGGCTGCTTTTGGATGTCAGGGTTTATCGTATCCTGTCCTCTCAACCTGTACGGTATACGGTTACATCTCACATATTCACCTTTAGTTTTAAGGAAGAAGAACCCCAGCCGTTCTCAGAACTTTCAAATGAAATGATTTAGATTACATCTTCTTTTAGACCTCAAACCTCCATTTTGTCTTCCGTTCGCGCGGTGATACTTTGAGAGATCTCCGGAAGTACCAAAATAGAGTTTTAGGCAGGAGAAGCTCTGAAATTTGGAAGGAGGACAGCGAATAAGTTGAAAAAGAAGCAGGAAGAGTAGCTAAAACAAGGACTACGCCGCTTTGCGCGGCATGTCTCTGCACGCTGCACATACGGTAGCGCTCGTGCGCAAGTGTGTAACTGTATTACGGCGCTGGCCCCGTCAAACGCATTGTATATAAAGCTGCGGGAGAAGGCTTAGAAGCACTATTAGTTGAGCAGGCGCGAATGCGACGCGCGCGTATTTTCACCGTTATCCTGCGCCTCATGCGCTCCGTAGCTAGTAAAGCCGCGTTCGCCCCCGAAGACATTGCGCCTTCGTCATGCAGTGGCCTATATTTGCTTTGGATGGCAAACTGAAGATTTTTGCATATGGGTTGACACAGGGGATCAACCTCCGACCGTCGCTGTCGGGGCATTCGCGAACGTGTCTCAGGGAAATTCCCAAGTTTGTCAGCCATCAATGTCTAAGAATACGGTATTTCCCACATCTTGGGCATGCGAAAATACATATCCGCGGAGCGAAGCGGCAAGAGACCCAAACAAGGCGGTTCGCTAGGACACGAACCGCAACGGCCGCGACACCCAGACGGATCCCCTGAACCAAAGTCTTGCATCAAAATATTTAGAAATTTGTTTTGAAAGTGCTTGAATAATTCCTACAAAGTGCATCAATTAGGTATTTTTTGTAACATATATCCAACACTGTATTTTATCCAGAACATTAGAGTTATTTCGAGTTGAAAGCAAATTGACTGAAAAACGAAGATTATAAGTATTAGTAGAAACGTCCGATCACTTCGAAATTTACGCACATAGAAAAAGCAGTTATTTAACCAGAAGCAAAATCGAAACGGGAATTTAGTAGACGTCTTACAAGGAAACGATACTCGGTGTCCGCGGCTTTTTGAGATGAGTTGTATACCATTACACTCGTCTTGGAACGCTGATTCCGAATCTGGCTTTCGTTTCTGCTAATCGCTTCAAAGATGTTGTATTGTGCGGGCTTTGGCTGTCCACTGAAATATTTTGAAAGCAGCAGCAGTGACGGTGCGGTGTGGTCTAGTGGTTAGCGCGATAGGCCCATGAGTTGATGAAGGCGTAGGTTCGAATCCTTTCGTCTTTTTCAGTTTTGCGTTGCCTCAATAAACCTTCTTTCGCATCTTCGGAGCTAACTGAACGCCCTTACTCTTCAAAAAATGTGGAAATTCGGAAAAAATTGACTATTTGCGTTAAAATGTATCCAATGACCATAATTCGAGTGAATCTCAAACAACTTTGATTGAGGTAGTGCAAAATAAAAACACAAAGGATTTGAACCTACACCTGTATCAAGTTGAGAGGCTATCACACTAATCATTAGACAATAACATGGCGCCGGTAGAGGCCGTTCTGGTGACCATACCGTTGGGCGGATAAAGTTGGTTCGAAATTCCTCCATAACTTCCTTCAGAGAAACGATTAGCAGAAACGGAAGTCAGATTCGGAATCAGCGTTCGAAGGCGAGTGTAATGGTATACATCTCGTCTCAAAAGGCCACGGACATTGAGTATCGTTCCCTTGTTAGTAATTTTGGGGATTAACCACTTTCCAGCTGCTTCTCTTCAATAGCATTATCATTGCGATGGCTACAAAAGATATTGTCTAGGTTGAAGAGTACAGGATTTGCTCCATCTATGGTTGTATTAGAGCGAAAAAATCATTCAAGTTGAGAAAATTTGTGAATCTTGCAAATTTTTGATGCAAGAATATAAATCAACCTTCTAAATTTTCCTACCTTAGCATCTTGTCTCACTGTAATCTTCAGCAACGGAGTCACTCTTTCAACTTCTTCACGCCACGCAATGACATCGGTGTTACTGTGGAGTATAGCTTGTTTGGGAACCTCCTAAAACTGATTTTATATTATAATGTGG